ATCTAATAACCGACTTTTCGATCTTTACTGGCCTAATTTGTATAGTCCATTATTTAGATTATGTAGAATATATGTATATATTACATAATAACACATAGTAACACATATACTGCTTGACTCGAATAGTGATTAAATACTAATATTTATTAATATTAGTGTTATATAGATTAATTAGGATTTCTCCCAATCTCATAAATAGATTGTAATGAATTCTAATTGACTTTAATTTGCGTCCGCACTTGCATATGTTCATAGGAACTGAATTTTGGTTCCACAATACTTCTTTTTTATTAGGACATGTGAAGAAAAGTAGACAAGACTATGATAAAACAATCTATCTCGTTTCTTGTGGGGACCTGTATTCAGTATTCTAAAGACTGTTCAAACGAAACGAACAACAGCTTAATAATTATGATGGAAACTCTAAATAATTGTAGTTTATGTCCTCACTCTAACATTGGGGTCTAGAATATTTTTCTACTTATTAGACAAATATAGAAAAAGGAAAGAGGAATATAATGGAGCATTACAGTGGAACGGGCTTATTCCATTCCAAATTGTTGATGGGGACCTACAATTTAAGAACTTTTGGATGCCCCTAAATAATTGAAATCCAAATAAATCGAAAAAAGGAGATCTAACTGCATTGGTATTTAAAAGAAATACTTGGGTTAATACAAAACACTTGATGATGAATTGAAACTCAGGAAAATAAGACAAAACCAAGTGGTTATTAAGGAAATAGAGAGTCTGAGAGAGTCTGTCTATGTCCTTTAACGGAGCACAATGGATCTTAAATTTGCGGTAATATATAATCCTCGAATTGAAAATTTCTGTATATGTAGTGTATAAGGTTTCTAAATATATGAATAATTATTTCAAAGTAATAAATTAATTTTTGTTTTATTTACAGAGTAATAATCACGAAAGCAGTTTTATGAAATAAAATAAATAAATCCAGAATAGAATTTTAGAATAGAATTTTGCTCAATGTGCGCTCCTGACAGACTCCCGAAATGATTTTTCAATCTTTATAGAAAATTCAGTTACCGATTGTCTGAGTGTCTGACTGTCTCAATGACGACCAAAGCAAGCAAATGTGTAGCCATGAAATGAATTCGTTACACAATTTATGCCCCTCAAGTATATGTTGAGGGGCATAAATGCATGCAAATAAGCCAATTGAAATTCCATAGCAAAGAGTACAGGCACGGTACGGCGAAGTGCAGAGCGGAGCAGTAACACAGACTGGTAAACATACAAACCGACAGACGGACATGTGGACATGTGGAGAGACCAGAGACCGAGGCAAACATAAAGCCAGGCGAACAAACTCATTTTAACAAGTGCCTTAGTGCCACGCACTGATGATGTTGCAGAAAGAACCCAAAATGTTGCGCCAGGCAAGTAGCAAAAAAAAAATAAAGTAAACAAAAAAACAAAAACAAAAAAAATGACAAGAAAAAAAGTCTGTTTATATATTTTTGAATTTTGAAATGAACAGGGGAAGTGTCAAAATTGTACTTAAGCGATATTAACCACAGCAAGTGTAGCTGCTAAAAGTGTATCGAATGCGAAATTTATTTTTAATTAATTTACGTGTAATTAAATTCGGTTGCTAGTTCTCATTTCCTTCATTTGTTAACATAATAATAAAGTAATATACTTATTACAATTTACATGTACTTACATGCTCATAAACTTAATTAAACTTAATTAAAATAAATTAAAATAAATTAAAATAAATTACTACATTCAATTTACTTAACCGTTTATTTTCCTTTGCGGCTTGTAAAATTCGTCTTAATTATAATTCGTCGTAATCGCTTTAATTTCAGTGGACTTAACTTTTCAATCGACCCTCGCTCGCACTATTGGCGTAGAATATCAGCCAATCAACCAAGCATGCTGCTTATTTGTTCCGCTTTCAAATATCAGAAGCAATTTAATAAATCTTTCTCGAGAGAGCATAGCTATGAGCAGCAATGAGCTAACGACAGAGCAAACAATTGAGTTGTACTCGTTTTTACATGCAAGCGACTATGCATGAAGCGAAGCAGTGTACGCAGCATTCTGCGTGTGGGTGTGCGTGTGTTTGTGTGCGCACATCTTCCCTGTGTGCCATACACGAATACTTGAAACATCGTCTTTGGTGTGTTCAGTTTTTGTTGTTGCATTTAAGAAGCAAACATAAATGAAATTCGTTTAATTATTTTTATAGTTTGGCACATTATAAATTAATTAATTTATTTTTAAATTAGTTAATTTCTACGTTAAAACGTCTAATTGGAAAATTTGATTTGTTAGCATGAATTTTATATTTTGAAAATGAATATTAATTTAATATTTCGAAAAATGTTTATGGGTATTCGATTGGAAACAAAAAGTAAAAGTGGTGAAGTTTTCCTTAAGAGATCTAAAGACTCAGTTAAGGCTCAGAACAAAGTTCACCATTTTTGTTTATTTCGTTCAAATCAAATACACAGGTATGGTTGGTTGTGAATTTCGCTTTGAATTAATTTCTTACGTTACCAACCGTCTAACTGAGCCTTAAGTATGTTTTTCACCACAACAGATTTTTAAATTATATTGTATGAAAATATATAATCGATTTAAATATGGAAATGAGATACCTCAATAAATAACCCGATTACTTTAATGTGTTCCAGTCTATGAAATATTGACTATGACAATGACAATAAGTTAATAATGAACTAATTCGATTAACTAGTATTCAACATTTTTTGGAATTCAAATAATGTATTAATAACACCCCTCTTACTAGACCTGCAAACGCTCAAGCGGATTAGTTATTTTTTATTTTACAGTAAATAATGGTGTATTAGAAGATTCACCACTGTTCATTGTTTTTGTTGTTGTAGTTGAGTTAAGGACAACTAAATTCTGTAAATGTCCAAGTCAATGTAAAGTGCTTTCGTTTTCGCGTTCGTTTTTTGTTTTTGATAAAAACTGACAAACTTTACTTTTCCGGAGGATATAATTATATATAGCTTTTGTGAAAGAGAATGTTCTCTTATTTCAGATTTCGTTCTCAAAAGCAGTAAAATCGAATGCTCAGTTGATTAATATATGTGAGAGAAAGCTCTTTTGTGTTATAAAGTGTTTTTAAAAAACATTTATGATCAAATTATGAAATCGTTTTGAACATCTTTAAAATTGGCTTATCTCTATCTAATTATATCCGACCTTGTGGTATTACCTTCTAGTTTACTTAATGAGTTAGAAAATCAAATGTTTCTTTAAGGATCTTGTAAATACACAAGATATCATTGAGGAAAAATTTCTTCTTGAATTTCAGAGTTTGCTTCCTTTCTTTTAATCCCTTTTGTCTACTTTGTAGTAATTATAATGGGTGGAATATTCGCTTTTACATTTGTAAATTTTCTCCAGACAATTCATACTTTATTGTTTTCTCCTTTTGTCACCACAATATATTCATCCTATCAGAGAGTAAAGTTAAACAAATCTGTCGCAAATAGTTGTCGAAATAAGAATATGCAAAGAGTTGTAAATATGCATTAGATTAGAAATTATAGGAAAGTCGCAGATCAGCATAAACATTGCATAGAACTAAAGATTGAGAATTGACTGATGCCAAATAGGTGGAAAAATTCACTAGAAAAAGTTCAATCTCAGTCTCAGTCATTTGAGGAGGCCCTGTACTTTGACAAAAGTTAAGGAAGGCAGTAGAAATATAATAAAAAAAATTTGGGTGGAATAACTTTGATAGATAATCTAATTGTATATCAAATTTGGACTTACAACAAAACATATATAAAAAATATTTCTCTTATTCTCTCTATCGCTTATTGGAGAAGGAAGTACATAGATTACCTTATTATTTGTTTGGATATAACATTATTCTTCAACATAATTTCGTGAACTTTTAGGAACTATGAAATAATTATTTTCTTGTAATTTAATTTGCAAATACTTCAATAAGTAGAGACCTATTATTATTTGGCTTAGTTCCTGTTAGTAGAAATTTGTCATCGTTTAAAAGAAAACATTTAATTGATATTTTATATTTTTTATTGAATATTTTTATTCACATGAATTTGTTTTATTAATTTTTTTATATTTGATTTTATTTATTTTATTTTTATTTGTATCGCACACTTATTTTTAATTAATCCTAGACAAATTTGGTTAAGCAACTACTGGAGAGGAACCCACTAGGCGAGTCCGAAGAGGTTCGCGTTTGCATGTAACTCAGCACACAAACTTTAAAAGGCTAAAAATCCGTATATGTTTTTTTTTTAAATATTTTATTTAATATTTTTTTATAATTTTTTTTTTTATAGACGAGCACATATATTTTGTTTTTTTTTTAATTTTATTTAGTTTTGTTTTTTGCTTCCTCGTATTTATCTAAATTCACACTGAGATACGCTTTTTCCGAACAGATACAACATATTTTTTATTTATTTTTCTTTTAATTATTTTAGAATTAATTTATAAATTTATTTTAAATATTATTTAAGTAGTTAAGCATTTTAATTTTAAATTCTAAGCTTGCAAATAAAATTTATTAATGTTGTTTTAAAATTAATAAATTTCATATTAATTTTAATATAATAATACACATTCGATAGAATTGATAAAACTTAAAATTAAAACTAAAAAAAATTCACTAAATTTTAAAATATAAATAATTTACAATAATTTGAGGTTAGGATGCAAAACTGTACATATTAAGCAAATATGAAATAAAAAAAAAATTAAAATAAACAAATGTGATATATATAAAATCAATAAATAATAAATATCTTTGTACAACATTACTAAATACATAATGCAAAATTCCTTAAATTCTTTTAACAAATTTGCTTTAAAATAGGATAACAAATTTTTTTTTTTATTGTTGTTTTTATAATTTTTTTAATTTAATTTAGCTCTTTCTTTTCAATTTAATACTGTTTTTGTTTTTGTATTTGTTTTAGTTATAGTAAATATGTTAATTTTTGGCAAGGCCTACTTCACGCACAACAAATTAAATAAAATAATTAACTTTCGTAAAAAAGGAATTTATAAAAATAAAAACAAATACATGTCATTCCAGGCCCTTTCCAACCCCTTTCACTGCTATTCCCAGCAACGTTAGTTGTTTGGGCTGCGCGAGGCTGGCGGATGTTGATTCATTTGATATGGGCTAAAGCGATGATATTGCCGCGGTCGCATATCGGGTGACGGTGAACCGGATGAAGTAGAAGAGGGTGTGGACGCAGCGGGTGGTGGTGGTGTGCGATTGGCCGAGGCAGCAGCTGCTGAAGCCGCGGCAGCAGCGGCGGCAGCTGCTTGTGCTTGTGCCTGGGCAGCGACTTGTGCTGCCTGTTGATTGGCGCTGGCGAGGAAACCGGCAGTTAGTTGCGGCCACTGCTGCTGGAACATGTGAAATGCTCCTAAGCCGGGAGGTGGAGGCGCTTGTTGTGCATACATTTGTGGCATCATTAGCTGAGCATATGGGGAATTACCACCGAACATTTGCAAATGCTGACGAGCCTTCTCGAAAATTGCCATCGAAGCTGGATCGGCGGCTTGTTGTGCTGCGAACTGCTGCATTAGTGGATCTGGAAACAAGCGCAATGGTGAACGTAGCTGCTGTTCGAGTAATAGCGCTTCCATTGGATCACGATCGAAGTCAGTGAGTCGCGATGAATCGCGAAATCCTTTGGCAAATGGATTTGAGTCGATTTTCAGCTTCGTTATCAGCTGATTTTGATAGGCTGTGACAGCAGTGAAAACGGTTTCAGGAAAAACGTAGGTTTTGTGGTCCAATTCTTGCAGTTCTTTGGGTGTAGTTGGTATGCTCTGACCATGGCTGAGTCGTACCAAATGTATGCGTGGCTGATAGCGATGCATGGAGTTCAAAACAATCTGAAACAACAAAAATAAAAGAAAAAATAAATTTGCGGTTTTACTGTTTTTGTTTATCATGTGCCTTTGGATATTGGGGAAGGGGGTTTGCTGCTGAGAGAAACCACTTAAACAGATACACAAAGTACTCTCTTTTCGCCGGCAGCATGCGCATAGAGTATGTACCAAAAATTAAAAAAAAATATGCAATAAACCAAAGAATAATATGTTATAGATATGGAAATGCCAAAAACCAAAGAAAAACAACAACAAAAACATGGAGAAAATTCATGCACAGCCAAAACACGCAACATTTACTGTGTGCGTGTTGTGTTCATGAATGAAAGTTTGTCCGTCCGTCTGTTTGTCCACATGTCTGCACAAATGTCTGTCAAATGCAGTGCAACTCGAAATGCCACTCGTTCAGCTTGTCAAGTAGCGCGGAAGGAGAAGAAGTGGAGCCTCGGCGGAAAAAGTACTTCAAGCGCTCGAAAGGAACATAAAATAAACACATTGGCAAGTAGCAGCGAATGCGGCGCTTACGGGCTACACTGTGCAGCGGTGGCAAACGCTGAGACGAACTGTCTGCGGGCATTGCAGCCAAGCCACTTTATTAGATTTTTTAGTGCGCCACTTTGCGGCGGTGTTGTCGTCGTCGTTGTTGTTGTTGTTGTTAGTTTAAGACGTTGTGTGAAATTAAAGGCACTAAGGATTATTGTGTCTGGGAAGAAACAGCCTTAAACTAAGACATAAATTTCCGAAATGATTAAATGACGTGCTGCTGTCTAGTAAATGTGAAAAGTTGAAAAAATCTGAAGCTGTGATTGAAGTTAAAATAAAGTCTATTGCTAAAACTGATATCAGTGATACTACATATTATTCTCTGTCTATCTTACATTCTAAAATATTTATCGAAACAGATAAGAGATAAGATTCTTCCTGATATTTCTGATCTATAAAGTATAATGTTAATAGAAGTCGTGAACTCACCTGTCCATTTTTATCCATTTCATTATTGGTTAGCTTTACTTTCTCGAAGGAAATAACCTGTTTTCGTAATGCTTCACAGCTAAATGGACTGTCGGGGTGTGCATATAATCGTGCCGGTGGTGCAGGATCTGCTTTGCCGGCAACCAACCAGGCTGATCTATGGTATGCATACCGATAACGCTTCGAGTCCATGGGTACAATATCGAGTAATACTGCATACCGGTCAGCAGGCTGTATTTGACGCAATGGACCAGAGAAACTAACGCGTACGGTAGGAAACATGCGTCTGCAAAGAGAAAAAATATAATAGAAAATTAATTAGAAAGTACTACAGATTTTTAATATTATTAGAATTAGTTTTAAAGTGTATTTTAAAGTGCAGTTTAAATCATATTTTTTTATTATATTATTATTATTATTAGATTATATTTTTTGAGATAGGCATTTTCTTATAAAAAAAAATTCTTTACAAACTAATTTTAAATATTGTATATTGTATTCAAAGTTTTGAGGAAAACTTTGAATTGTCAATGCAACTAAAATATATTTGCCTTTAGCATCCAAAGTAGGCCTGCCAGACGAATATTGTTTAGTGGTTGGACATAATGTATTAAACGTAGTGATTTTATTTGATGTACCAGGACATAAATTTATGACATAAAATTTTGATAGTGAACAGTAAACCACTGCTCAATATACAAGCCACATCAAGCACAACCGCCAGCCCTAAACTGAAGTGGGTCTAAGCCTTTTATTTGGGCTAACGTTCATAGCGCATCAATCATTTCTGTGCATATAAGCTTTTCTTCCACTCCATGTTCAACTGAATGAATCCCATGGAAAAGTCTTGCGATCAATTGAAGCAATTTTTAAATACAATATAATATTAAATAATGAAGTTAAGAGGTTTTCAAACATTTTTTTTTTAAAATATCATTAGGTGGAGTCAGAAGTATTGCCTAGTACAGGTCTGTAGCCAGAAATTTCCTTCAGAAAGGAGAGACTTTTAGATAATATTGGAAACTTAATAAAAAATAGTCATTATACATTAATAATAAATGAAATTCTAGTGTTAACTAAAATTCTAGAGTCTAATAACTAGTGTCACGTCACAAGTATTAGCTAACACAAGTCCATAGCCAGATATATACTTCAGACAGAGCTTTTAGATATTTTCAGTAAAATAATCATTTAGTATTATTTTTATGTATATAAATGTATAAATGTGGCCTTCCGATTCATTTTGGGTGAAGAAAGATACAGCTCCTCAAGACCCTCCTTGACTACTTGTCTGAACTAAGACATTTAACGATGTGTGTAGCATTTCTTGCAGTTTTCACTAATCTAAGTGAGAAGATTTTGTGTTTAAAAAAAAAAGTTACCACTATCCTTTAATAAAATGTTATTTTTTCCTTTTTTTTATTTCAAAATATTTTTAACTTGGGTGGTTTTACACATTTAACTATTAAATTAATAAAAGTATAAAAAAAAATAAAGTATAAAAAGTATAAAAATTTTCCCAAATCTTTGCTTTTATTGCCCCTCTTTTGTGTATTAGCTGCTTTGCTTTTATAGTTTTTTGTGTAATGTTTTGTGTAGGGTTTTTGTATGACTGACTTTCATTTCGTATATAAAAAAAAAGAAAATAAAAAAAAATATAATAAACAAAAATTAAACCTACATTTTGGGCTCTCAATGGTTGATGTGTCCTGTGGTTTTAATGTGTTTAAACCTGTTATTTATGCTGCTTCTTGCCTTTTATACTCTTCCTTCTTTATATTCTGCTTTTGTTGTTGTCATGTTGTTATGTTGTTATGTTGTTTTTGTATTATGTATACCACGTACTTAGCACAGCAGTGAGCTAAAAGTCAACAAGACAAGCAAGCACTGCACAATAAGAGCAGCGAAGCAGTGAAGCAACGACAGTGAAGCCAGTAATTGAATTTACAATAATAATCAAAACAACAACAGCAAAAGCAACAACAAACAAACCAAAAATAATAAATACAAAATGCAGATGACATAATAACAACACGAGAATTTGTTACGGCGACCGCCCTGATTGTTAGGTGTGATTTTTACAGTGTCATTACACATAAACGCAGGAAGCATTCTTATATAAAAACACACAAAACACACACGCACTCATACACATAAGCAAATTTGATACACGAATACCCTTACAAATAGGTTGGCCTGGCATTAGGGGGTTGGTTTGTTGTTCTTATTTTGGTAATACATTTTTATTGTGTGTGTTGTGTGTTTGTTGCTGGCTTCCTTCAGCAGGTTTTGATTTTGAGGTGTGTGTGTGGTCAATGAAAAATACACATTACACAATTTCTGCACTGCTGTGTCTTGCATTGACACTGAAGAAAAATCTTTAAGTAAGAAGAAAGAATATAATATTCAAAAATGGTTCTATTTTTTGTGGAAATTTGAATTTTTAGTGGAGTTGACACCTTTGACACTTAAAGCGAAGACTAACCAGAGTAACCCGAAAAGAGTAACCAGATATTTTAATTGTTGACAAGTACTACGCCCACCTTTTTTCCTTTTTTTGTTTTGCTGACGTTTACGTGTGTATGTGTGTGTGGTGTTTATTTACGCTTACCTACATGTCAATAAAGGATCTCTGCAGAGAAAGGATTCTGTGACTGCAAATCTTTGGACTTGATTTTTAGACATGCAGGAGCCTGCCTGCGTGTATGAAACGCAGCAGTTGTCTGTCGTAGACAAAGAGTTGCCATATTTTGACAACTTCTGCGGCGTTTAATGAGGATGCTGCTGTGCGTAGGACCACACGCAAAATCGAATTTCCCAGAACAAAAAAAAAAACTATTTCTAGTTCATAAAAAACTAGTGTTCCCTTAAATTAGTTTAAACTTTCTTATTTGTTATGAATAAAACAATAAATTTTATTCATACTCGCTTTTTAAATACAAGCTTTAGGGGTTAACACAGAATAACACAAAATATATATGCATTTTTATCGCACCATTTAATTCACAGCGGCATATCCTGTCCGAGTGACCGACCCATGGTACTGGTCGGTTTGCATGCGGGCAAATGGTAAGGATTAAAACATGTTGTCACATGCAAATGCCTTCGTTAATCTACTCACATTACAAGCTAATTTACAATAAAAGTACATTGAAAATTATAGCCAAATTCACTTTATTAGCGCAGATAAAAATTACGGATACGGATACAGGGGCAAGGACAGGGACAGGGACAAGGACAGAGACAGATACAGATACAGATACAAGTCAACCTGACTAGTTAAGTGTTTATTGTGGATACGCTGCATGTGTTCGACCCTTTGGCTAATGCAACATTTGCATGTTTAGCAACATTTCTTTTTATTAATTTTTTATTTTTACATTTCTCAAAACCCCTTCCTTCGTTCTACATTTAAGGCTTATCTCCTTTGTACTATCTTTCTTACTTGTTTTTGCGCGCCACAAATTTTTTTTTTTTTATTATGCTCCTATTTTAGTTTACATGTATCGATGTATATATTTTTAACTATTATTTTTTGTTTTTGTTTATGCTTACCTGCCGGTTTTTGTGATTATCATTTCTGTTCCCAATTCGTGAAAGCGATCCCATAGCTCTTTGGTCTCGAGATGGCATTGCACAGGCTTTAGGTCATCACAATTGCAAGAACCCACAATTTTTGGGGTTTTTTGTACAGGTTCGGGAGTGAGACGCTCCTCATTATCGGTACCTGGCGATTGTGGTGGTGTTGAACGACCTTGACTGCTTGTGGTGCTGCTGTTAAGCTGTAAGGATGCGTTGTTGTTGTTACTGCTATTATTGTTGTTATTGTTGTTGTATTGGTGATTATTAGTGACGTTGTTATTGAGGCGTCGAGCTTTTGTGGGTGGCTCTTCGGAGTCACTGCAGTCCACAACATCAACATCGACTTCATCTTCAATGGAAATGGGACCTGTAATGAAAATCAAATATTTTAATCCATAGATTCACATGATTTGATATTTGGATATCAAACAAAATATGTTATTAAGATTATATGTTATTAGATATATTAAGAATATGTTATTAGATATATTATGTCTAATATATATTATAAGATATAAATCTTAAGATTTATGAATTTTGAAATTATAAACACAATATTATATATGTATATGATATGTTTATTATTCTTACAAAAAGTAATAAAGTTATTACTGTGTATATTAATTATTTTTTTTTAATTATAATTGATTATTAATAAATTATATAGAACCATTTATATAATACAAAAATAGTATAAGTAATTTTATGTGTTATCATTTACAGAGCCTGAGAAATGGCCGTTTAAAAATTGTTCTAAAATTCAAATTCTCCAAACCCTATGTGGTCATATCTCCTAGGGAAAAAATTTAAAATGTTTTTCTCAACACGCAGGTATTTTATTTAAAAATTAAAGTTCAAAAACAGTTGCACTTGTAAATGAAGCATACACTTTTTTATAGCATATTTACTATATATTATCATTAATAGTCTATTAAAGATTAAGACCTGGAAAAAATTTTAAGGAGCAAGGATATTTTATTTACTACTCGATGTAATGAACACAGCTGTTAACTGGTGCATTGATCTACACCCAAAGTTACTCCTACACCCAAAGGAGTAACACTGGGTCTTTCCGATACATAGAGTCCATAGCAGTAAAGAAAGCACTAAACTATAGTATAAATTGATATAAAGTAATGACATTAAGATGATGACATACCAATGTATTGATGGGGTCGAACTAGTAGAATGGCTGTCATACAATTTAGTTCAAAGGAATGATTAAACTAAACTAAAGGATTAGCCCATGTGTATTTCCCCCCGTATAAACCCAACCGATTCAAGATATGCGCTCAACTGTGGCATAGTTTGGTTTAAAGTCATGACATAGGGGGTCTTTCGTAGAGCGTCTTTTTAATATACAATATATAGTTGCTAGTCGTTCTAAATGAGAGGAACACAGTTCGGTCTAGAGATAGAGCAGTAGGTTACAGTAGATACACACAACACTTAAAGACTATTTGATATAATGTTTCTTGTTTTTAAATTGGCTATGAAGTTACTCCCCTCGACAGGTATAAGAGAATTCTGCTTTCACTCCATCTCTCGCTTTAGAGTCTGCAATATCATTGCATTGACTTTGCTTGACAATGTCAACGTATTCTAATGTCAGACTTTATCGGCCGTGTAAGTATCTGAACACACCATTTTTTATATGCAAATTACACGCTCGTTTTGTGGTTTTTTGTTTCGATTCGCAATTAGATACTTTGTTGTGTGCCCATAAATGAAATATTTCAAAACCGACGATAATTGCGGCTAATGCAGTGGCAATAATTGCAATTAAAAAATCTGTTGTCGCTGTTGTTGCTGTTGGTGTTGTTGGTGTTGTTGTTGTTGTCGTCCGGTGAACAAAGTGCTACCGACTGACAATCGACGGCGTGGACTTTTTTGCTCTGATATGCAAATATGTATTGCAGATACTCACGCGCTAATAAAACAGAAAACAGAAATTGGAGCACGGAAAAAGGTGAGAAAAATCGCATGGAAAACGCTAAGTAAATAATCAATTTCACAAAAATGTTAATAGCTTAAAAGGCTGTTTGCAAATTGGCATCATTCAGCGGCGGAAGCAGGCATTTCATTAGCGAGAGATTGCGCTTAAAAGTGCAAAAGAGCTGCACTTACAGACTACTTAATGCATCCATGCATCTATGCAGTCATGCATCCATTGGACTTAATGGCAATTGCACAGGTCTCCCGACCTGAGAGATGACTTCATTTCCATTGGTGGTTCTTAGCTGTCGAGCGCCGTTAAATTGCACTGCGCCAACGTTTGTTTGCTTTAGCAGCTGATAATTTGTGCAATATTTGCTTAGGCATGCGCAGACCCAGACGGGACCACTAAAAAACTACGTCTACAGCGGCTGCGGAGTGCAGTGGACGGACGTAATTTGCGGTAGTAGCTTGGCTCAATGCTTTTTTAAAGATTTTTAATGGATTTTTTTTATGGATTTTAATTGTTCGCAGTTGCACCAGACGATCAAGTTCACATAAAAGCATTTGAGTTTTTTTCTTTTCTTTTCTTAATATTATTTTAATATGTATTTTTTTTCACTATTTAATTATATTAATAAATTTTTACTTGAATCGCAAACTCGATCAAGCTTCGATCAAGCTTCGATCGAAGCAGTTAAGTCTTAGAAAAAACTTCGAGGAGAAAGACAAGAGAATAAATTGAGACTGAAATTAGCATATGAAAAAGGTGTTAAAAGCTGTGCTTGAAAATATTAAAAATATTAAAATTAAACGGTTATTAATATTCTATAAAAGTTAGTATCAATAAAAACGAATAGTGCCCGCAGCACTGTTCAGCTGCTCATGGCATTTGGTAAATGCTTAGAAGTGATTGTATTCGAAATGGCACTGATCCGGGCACGATTCCGATTTATTTGGAATCGGAATCCGAGTTGTGATGAAAAAATTTGTTGAATTTCAATATTTTTTCAATTTTTTCAAACAACTCTATATTCCAATATAGCATCATTCTCGAGATATCAACTTTTAAAGTTACAAAATGGCAATGAAAACTATACCCGTCAGATGATCAGATTTACGTTGGCTTGATCAATAAGATCATTTAATATAAAAGTGGCCGCTAGATAGAGTTAACAGTTTTTTTGTTAGCCTTAGCAATGCGTCTTTCACTGGCGGCTGACTGTGCACTATCCAAATTTAAAGTTCTGAGAATAGAATTCGTTGCCAAGTAATTATCCAGGCATGCCACGTAAAGGCTATGTGACAACTTGGATTGAGCACCACAAGGATTATGCTATCATTTTCCAAGTTATATGTAATCAGACACGTTGCTTTGCGCTACCCCGAAACCTGGTATCGGTTTGTTATGGGCATCTAAGAAAGTATGTAAGTTAGCAATGCGACAATCTTACAATTTTAAGAGCTGATTTCATAGTCGTAACTTATGTTAAGTCTCAATACCGTCTTAAATTGATGAATAACACTTATAAGTATGACATGGTAACCTTACTACTTGTATGGCAGATTTTTTAGTAGTAACTTAAGTTAAGTTTTAATACTGATCTAAGTTATGTTTAAGCCAACATAACTCTCAGTTCGGGCTGCAATGAAATGTAAAACTATTGTAGAAAGTACTTATAGTTAATTATATATTATATATTACAGTGCAGTGAAGATTCAATATTATGCGTTAGAGTAAAATTAGAAACTGAGTAGGACTATCTATTCAGCTTCATTAATTCGTTTGGTTCTTATAGAAACGCAGAACCGTTATTTTTTGTAAGATATGTTTTAAGTCATCTAAAAATTCCAAATAATGGGAAAGGTTATTTACTCACTCCGTTGGGATCCCAACGTATTACCCAACATTTTGCCCACAATTTTAAATAGTGTTCGCTTGAATAAGATACATATATTGATCAATACTAATAAATTCAATTGTTTAGTATGGCATTAAGTGGTCCAATAGTCTGTCTGTCCGTACATTATATGTTACATTTAATTTATTGTAATCAACATATCAAGCACGTCTCGCCTCTTTAATTAATACTTAAACGGTGACATTCAATAACAATCACTTACGAGCTATGAATTAAAAATGATTAAAATATGACAGCTTTTTAAAAAACGGATTCATGTATTATTTTAAGACCAAATCAAGTTACATATCTCACATATGACTCGATTTAAAAAAAATTCAAAGCGCTGATCTACAACGTCCTTGTGAAAGGTGAAAAACCGACGGAATTAGTGACATGCCTTTTTCATCGGTGATGTCTGACTTTGGGAAGATATATTGGATCGCTTGTAAAATCTCTGCGAAATTACAGATTAAGTATTTAAAGAGTTTTTCGTTGACTCTAATAAACTTTCCAAGATGAAAATACCAAGGATTAGATGGCAAAGAGGACTGATTCATGAAAAAGTTCAATCAGAAGAATACGTTAGAATACAATGTGTTACTAGAGAAACTCCTCAAGTTATAGACATGCATGTATTCATTTATATTTTATTAATTAGAAAAATGTGTAAAGGTATAATATTAAGATAATTATGAGATAAATATGAGATAAAAACTTATTCATTTATAATGTTAGGTGTACAGGTAGACTTCGTCTATAAATAGGAATCCATCTTACGATAGAGGTAGATTAATGAGTAGATAGATGTGCACATACATAAATAGGTAATAGATTGATAAATATATACATAATACTATTGTGCTAATACAAGAAACTCCACGGTTCGTTAATTAGGTGATCGTTTCTTTAAAATAGATATGAACGAAAATAATAGAACAAACCGAATGGCTATTCTTTTTTTAATTTTGTAAGACAAAAGAGTAGTGTTAGTGGAAAACCAAAACTCAATAAAGAAAAGGAGGAGAAGATAATGAATTTTTGATGCTTTCAATGATATTCACTACTACTCTAAAAGGATACAATTGTATATCGCGACGAATGATGTTCATTGGTCTCATAAGCAGACTTCGAAAAATGTGTACTATTGATAACATGTAAAGCTATCTTAAAAGTAACTGAAGAAAATTTAATGTTTCAATGTTTGGAGAAATAATATGTCATATGTTTTAATAGAAATAACTAGAGCATAAGAAATTTAGAACTCAGAGACATGAAATTGATTAATATTATGTTAAATACTGTTAGCATATCGATGCTTAGAGCCTCTATGCTCCACAAGGAGAAGAGGACTATATTAGTGGTAGTAGTAGAAGCAGTAATTAATGCTTAATAATGGAAAACCGAGTAGAAATATATAGCAGATATCAACAGTTAAGATAGATAAGAAGCCTGGATAAATAATTGTAACAGTTAATCAGTGAAGAGATTATGATGAACTTACGTTCTACAAATAAATTCTTAGAAAGGATAATAAGAAGAATTAATTGATGTTATAAGCTTATGGAAAATATGTCAGAATTTAAGAGGCTTCCTAATTGATAAATCACAAGTGATTATCTCTAGAAATTCTCTAGAAATCTCTAGAACTATAAAAGTAGGTAGAGCTCAGGTTAGGTTTAAGGGCGAATCTGCAGATGACTTTAGTTAAAAATTAATCGGAGCAAAAATTTCAACTGATGATTGATGACAAATCGTGAGAGCCCGATATATCCAAAAAAAGCCATTAAAGAAGTTACAACTTAATCGATGCAGTGGTGCTAACTGATTAGTAATAAATCGAGAAGGGCAGATATAATTGGAAAAAACTGTTAATTTAGTTAAAGCTTAATAGTAGATCTACTGATGACAAATTGATTGAAATAAATTTGCAAATATTTAAGTCGTAGATGTGCTAGAATGAAATAAATCATATCAATATATAAAAAAAATCAATTAAACTGATTAAAAGTGATATGAACGCTGATTGTTTTATAATTGGGGTTAAAACTAATAATATACCCCTTTGTGTGATTATAAATATAATATATGATAACAGATTAAGATAGTTCGATTAACCGATTAACCTTTCTTTGTAATGAAAATTAGTTTTCTTCGAATAAAGCGCGTTTTTACTTTTGAGAGAACATTTTATGTCTTGTATCTGGCATGGGTTAATCATATAATTAATAAGATCATGATCATATCATATCATTATATATATACAATACATTGGTATTAAATAATAAATGTTAAGATATGAGAATATTTTATATGTTTTAATATAATTAAAATTTAATATGTTCTTTATATTTGTTTAAATGTTTATATAAAGTAGTAAATAAAATTGCGTATATATTAAAAAAAATCATGCAGCTCAGAGATACCGCAGAAGAATAGCCATTCCGAAGTAGGATGCGGTTAGAAATAAAATCAAATTTCGAAGTCCTTTAGCATTAACTTCGAAAAGTGATTATTTAATGTAAGATATGAAAAAAATAGTATGCGAAGATGGACACAGTTTTAATATATGTCAAGATACAGAGTGCCAAAAAAAGGTTCACTCAAAGAACCCTATTTTATCCCATAAAAAATCATTCCTTAAATGAGTCAGAAATGGTTAGAATAGTTTTATATACTTGATGTATCGTACATATCTCTTTAAATCAGGAGTCTATTCACAAACATTATTTTAAATCTAATTAAATAATAGGCAGCGACATAAAGATACTTGATTTCTAACTAAGGAAAAAAAATGGAAAAAGAACTTTCATGCTCTCATTTATACTGCAGATGATCAGTCTTAATAAAGAATTAGATTAAATTTCTTAAGGAATTTCCTAGAACCCACTTGGTTTTAACTTGGTTATAGTAATGTGTGTAGTTTCTGAATCAGTATTTCATGTATCACAGAAACCCGTATAAAATACTAAATCATAAGCGCGGACATATGAAGATAACATCCCCAAAGACTTAGATTCTTGGATTCTTAGATGGTATACGGATTTATGGAAACAGAGAATCAATGTGAAACTTAACTCAGATTAATTTAATTTAATTAAGTTCAATTCATTTAAGATGAGTTAATATAATTTGTGTGATTTTCAGATCCTTAGGTTTTAGAAGTAGAAATACAATTCATAAGATATATAATCTGAGTTAAATTAAATTCGGGAAAATTAAATAAAATACATTTTTTAAATAAAATAAAATAAAATAAAATAAAATAAAATAAAATAAAATAAAATAAAAAGAATATAAATAATCTTAATTTATATTATATTTAGTATCTTTTAAAAATAAAATTAAATAAAATAAAGAAAATTATAAATTGAGTTAAGAATGATGGATATGTCTTTTGCGAATGGTATGGTATGTTCAATATAATAAAATAATATATAAAAAACTAAAACAAAATTAAATAAAATAAAGTTTAATAAGTTAAATAATATTTAAAAGTTATAATAAGATATGAATGATTGATAGTTTTCTAATAACATCATTGATGTGATTAGAACATCAGACGAAGAATTAACGGTCGGTCTTCAAGGATTCAAAATGGTTTTACTTATGTAAAGAATAGCATGGATTTCAGTTGCTTAGAGGATTAGAAGGTTCAATTGCTTTAAATGACATTAATTAGATATTCAATGACAGCATAAAAAAAAGATTGGAAGATTATTAAAATCAAACCATATAAACCATTTTCTTTAAAAATAATAAAGGTCTAAGGAATTTTAAACAGTACTCCGCTTTGGGTTGTTTAAGATCTTGAAGGGAGAAAATATAATAATTTAGCTCTAATTTAGTTTTCGAAGTTTGAAGAGAGAATATATTAAGTTTAAATATTCAACAACCAAAAATTATAATTTTTATATATTATATATATTTTAAAATATATCAAAAAAAATTATGTATAAAAATATCTGAAAGATAGATTATATGCTCTTAGGAAAGAAATGCAAAGCTTTATAATGATATAAAAAGTTAAGGTGGATTTTAATATCTTTAAAAAGCAAAGTTCACAAAAATCTTGAATTGAGTCTATTGAATACTCTATAATCGTTTCAAAGACTGTAAAAAAAGAAAAAGAAAACTTGGGAAGATCTAAATTGTTAATGTAGCTTTGTTGTCTTTAAGAAGTGTAAGAATAAGAAAAAATTAGCAAATCATACCCTGTAACAGTTAAAAAAAGAAACATTAGGATATATGAAGAAAATATAGACAGATAAATGTAGGACTTTAAGGGTAGCTTCAAAATCTATAAAAAGTAAGATATTCACAAGAATTCACAAGTTATATGTTTAATATTTTCAAAAAAATAAAAAAGAAGAGAATAGAATATAGGAAGAATACATGATTAGATTTTTATAGTTAAGAGTTACTTCTACATCTTTATGAAGTGAAGGACTTCAAAACTATCAAAACATCTTGTACTAATGATGGATTTCTTAAGTGCCCAAAAAATTTGTTGAATATCTTGAATTTAGTTAATAGAATACTCTATAATCGCTTTAAAGTTTTTGGGAAGCGAGAATATTGTAAGTTTCAAACACTATGAAATGAACTCTGAAGACATATTAACGGCTTATAGGTATCAATGAAGCGTTTTGTAATTCTTTAAAGACTGAAAAATAATATAATGTTAGGGTATTAGTATATAAAAGTAAAAGATTATGTTAACACGGGCTTTATTAAGCGAAATGGATCCTCTTAAGAAGAATACAATCTGAAGACTTCAAATTATCACTCGTAAATTAAAGATATTGTTATCACAGGCTTTATTAAGCCCACAATTTGAAGATTTCAACTTATTTCAGTTAAAAATTTAATAATCAGTCTTAAGCAAAGCAAAGAGCTTCTTTAATAACTCAATCAATCGATATAGCCATCTATCAGAGCTATCGAGAGATCCCAATGTGGATTGTTCTCTTATGAAATCTTCTAATAAAATAGAGTTTCTTATGAGATGTGCGGCAGTGGCCGTTCACATAAGCTTAAGCTTAGAAAATTTTAGGTTTAAGTGCAGACTTACATTCTTCTAGGGATTTTCAATGAACGTCTGCGTCGCGGTGCTCTGCTCGAAGCTGAGACTTGACTTTTACAGAACTTTTCGAAATGTTTGGCTTACGACTGTTGCGGCTGCTGCTGCTGCGTCTGAAGCTGCGGCTGCGGCTGCATTTATGTCTCAATTAGAACTGCACTTCAATTAGAATTGCCTTGCCTAACAGTTTCTTCCCCTCTACAAAGACTGTCCATACATAATTTTTTTTCTTTTTAAATTTCTTTCTCATTTCTCCTTTTGGCATTGCCAATTTTCAGCTTTTGATTGGGAAATTTCATATAGAAAACGGACAAAAGTGCAACTGCTTTTTTTATTTGGAATTTTAAGCTTTTTTTTGGATTTTTCATACGTTTTTTTTCAATTTCTTTTTGTTTTTGTACAAAGAAAAAACAACATAAAAATTAGGTGTATTTTTTTGGTAGCAAATAGCAAAAGAAAAAACTCACTTGCACTGCGGACCGACGATTCTCGACTTGAGGCATCTTCACGTGCCATTATCGCCGCTATGGAAAAATCTGTAGCTGAGCCGGCGGCAGTTTTGCTGCTTGCCGTTGTTGTTGTTGGATTTGTGGCGGCGGGCACTGGCGGTAAAACGCCGCCATTGCAAATGTACGGATGCGAGCCAACCAACATTCTGCTATCGTATGGATTGCGTACGTTAGAGGGGCGAGGAAAACTAATTTTGATAATTTTTAATTAAAACTTTTCGATTCACAAAAATGTTACTTCCTTCAAGTCTTCGCTCTACGCTTTTTGCTCTTCGCTCAACTTTGATAAACACAAATTCGTGGCTTTGTTGTTGTTGTTAATGTTGATTGGGAAAAATCGTTTTTAATTGAATTTTGATTTTCTATTAAAATTTGCACATTTCGTCGTTATTGTTTGATATGTTTTTTGTTTTAATAATTTTGCAAATGTCAGCATAAGGTTTGTTTTTGTTTTTAATTAAAAATAAATTTGTTTTTAATTATTATTAAAAATTCACTTTGTACTTTTCTTAATTAAATTAACTTGTTTATGATTTATTCATTTATTTCATTTATTTGTTTGTGGAATTGAATTAATTTTGTTTGCGTTGTTGAATGTATTTTGCCGACGTTAAGTTTGCGTCTGCTTATCCAGCGGATACACGTTATCTTTAATACTCGTATTGGTTCGAAATGAAAATATCATTTATGCTATTTTTTGTTTTTTCCACGCTTCTTAACAAACATCAACGAAAATCACTCAAAACGTACTTAAAACTATTTTCCTTCAGATTTGTTTCGTTTCTGTTTTTTTTTCGTTGTTTTCTGAATGTATTTTATATGTGAAAATATTGTGGCTTAGTTCTTTGCTAACCAAAAAGTATGAACACAACTGCGAGTCAATTGTGTGCGCAACGAAAGGCAAACGACGACGAACTGAATTCTGTCAAGAAAGTTGTAGAGCTTAGAAGTCAACACTGCAAACACAAAACACACGAAACACATGAAACACACGGCAGCAATAATACAAGCAAAAACAAAAACAAAAACAAAAACAAAAGCAAAACAGTGCACACACAGCGTGAAGCATGCATGAAGCAGTAGTGTAAGTAGCAGAAGCAGAAGCAGCAGCAACAGCAGCAGCTACAAGAAAAACCAGTCTCATTTGTTATCGGCCGTATAACTTGTTGTTCTGTCACGTTTTTGTTTGTTGTAATTGAGCAAACACAGGCGAAAAATACATGCACACACACGCGCACACAACACATTTATTTGCAAGCAAATACATTGAGTGTAAAGACAGCCAGCCAGCTAGCAAATGCGAGCTATACCAGCAGAGCGAAAAGATAAAAAATATTGAAAAAGGGCGTTTGCGTGAGTAGGAGAAGTAGAGACTCTTTAGATATGGGCATAGGCGTGAGCAGTGCTAACTTATGGCAATTCATGGGGTGAAAAAGTGCGTTGCTCTGCTTACTGTTAACAATACAATTGTGCGAACAAAAACAACAAAAACAACAACAACAAACTTAACAACAATTGTTTCAAACAGCACTGTTTGTCAGTTGAGAGTGTTGCATTCATTGTTGTATTAGCAAACTCAATTGCTCAAAAATTCCTATATGAATTTGTGTGCTTTTTCTGATAAGAACTGCTTAAATAAGGCAACCAACAAAAAAAACAAAAATGATTTATTTCTTCGTGTGCTCATTAGAATGAGACAACAATATGCGGCGTTGTACGGTTTAGTATGTTTTATGAAAAGTGGGTTGAGTTATATGTTGAGCGTTTTCACTCAGCACTTGCTGTTGATTTCTAGACTGTGAATTGGCTTCATTCACTTTGAATTTGTATTGTTTGTAGTTTTTTTTTTGGTGAGGAATTTTTTTCTTCACTGAGTTGTCATAATTCATTTACAATTAAAAATGTCGGCACTATTCTCTCTCATTCGTGCAAACATTTTATGTCTCATTTTTGTGTGTGGCGTATAGTGTAAATGTGCAATTGAAGTTGTTTTTTTTCTGGGAATTTTTTCATTTGTAGAAAATTTTGTATATATGCTCGTTTATGAAGTGCAAACGTTTTGACTGCGGTTTTTTCATGTTTCTTGTTGTTGTTTTTTCTTTTTTGTTCACAGTGAGTTTGAAATTTTATGTTTTACATTTTTCTGGTAATCAATTTTTTTCACAATTTGAGTGTTTCTCTAAGTTCCCAACACGTTCCTATATTAGTGTGTAGAGTGAACTGCATTTGAGTTGTTCGTTATTGTTCGTTTGTGGTGTGTTAGGCGCATTACTTTTTTGTCCTTCTGGACATGAATTTTTGTTGTTTTTTTCTTTTCTGCTTTTCGCATGTAATGTTGAAATGTTTGTTAAATATGCTTCTTCTTTTTAACTTTGCTAAGTACTTTTCGCCGTCGTCATCGTTGTTGTTGTTGTTTTATGGCCGTTGTCATCATCGTTGTTGTTGTCGTTTTTGTTGTTGAGTAGTGTTAACTTGACTTTAGTAATTTGGTGTTAATATTTCAGTGGCAAATCAAATGTCCTCGCTTTCTTGTTAAAGTACACAGCCAAGTCAATATTGTCAATATCCTTCCGAAAGCCCATAACTATGTTTCTCAATTGCTTTTTGTTTAATGTTTTTGTTTTTTTTTTAAATGTTGTTAACAGTGGATATAATTTTACATTAATAAACGAATAAACAACAGTTAGCGAAATTTTTTGATGTGATTGATTCTTTTTTTAACTTAATATAATTAATCTTATTTATATTCATAAATTATTGTATAGCTCATAGTATCTTGTTAGTATTGCGAAATTTTCGTATGTAATTAAAAATAAAATTTTTCTAAAATATAAATGAAAAAATAAGAAATAACGATTAGATTTAAATTGAAGATCTAGTCTGAGTTAAACCCACGTAAACCACTTATAAATCTTTGCAGAAAAAAAAGAATAATTAGTTTAAAGACGAGGAGCAAATCTGAGACAGACCCACGTGTGCCGCCCGTGGGACTGTTGCAGAAAAAATATATAATTAAATTTTACAGCTAAGTAACAAAACTCCAGAAAAAATGTGCGAACATAAAAGTCAAGTACGGCTTTGGGTCATTTGGTTAAGGTGCGCTGACTCTGAGTTTCAAATTTGGCAGGACACGAGTTCGATTTCTGGTACTTGCAGTCTCAAAAAATTAATCACGAATAATTAAATACAAGAATTATTTTCAAGACCACTGATGATAGGTACTTGGCAATAATATACAATGAATTTTAGTTTTTGTAGTTCACTGCCGTTCGCAAAACCTCTTTATTAAATTTTATATTGAAGAGCAAATATGCGACAGACCCACATTGACCACTTGTAGGCCTATTGCAGAAAACCGAAATATATATAATATTGGATTTTTATTATTCTTATTGTTTTATTTTCTTTAATCCACAGATCAAGTTAAAAAAAACTGTTCTTTTTCCATTTATACATACATATATACATGTTCTATATTTCAACACTCTTGGAGAGTCTTTTTTGGCTTCTTTTTAAGAATTTCACGTTTTTTATATATTTCATAATTTTTTATTATTATTTACTAAATGTGTAACTTATTTTTCTTTAATTAATGTTTTTTTTCTCGAAGATTAGCTTATTATATCCCATAGATTATAGCGTACTATCGTTATATAATAATTTATATATGTGGTCTGGATATATATTTGTGTGAATATATATAGATATATGGTCTTATAATGATAAAATTACTTCAACTGATTAAAGAAATACTTCTCCGCATGTCTTAGTCCCCGTCATATAGTGGAAACAGCCTGTTACATAGTATTGTATGCTTCTTCAATATATTTACACTATACTTTAGTTATTACAATTATTCTGAAAACTAGACTGAATATATATATATTTAACTAGACTGAATTCACACTTCTAAAACTCAAGTCACCACTCTCACACATTCCTCCTACTTGAAGTCAAGCTTCGCAGCAGTATTATATTTACCTCCAATACACACTTACACTCTTTAACGACCTTTGGGATATGGTAATACATATTTTATGGATAGGTGGACGACAGGATTTGTTGCAAACTCCAAGTTATCTTAATACAATGATTTTATTACTATATTGAGTTGAGGAACTTCTTATTTAACTGTTTGTATGCTCGTACTATTCCCCTATTTCACATTATCTTCAATTCAAGTCGTTTACCAATAATTTAAGTAATAGTCTTTCCATGCTTTTTAAGAGGAATTGTGGAATACTGACCTACCTACCTACAAAATATTGGTATATTCACAAGCAATACTCAATACTTATCAAGCCTAATACATGATAGAGAGATACTTTCCTTAATAAAGGAAACCAAACTAATTTAAATCTCGCAATTTTTTTTTTTTGTGTTTAAAAAAAGATCAACATTAACGAATGTTGTTCGTTAATAGTATTAACTTAATACTAAAACTAGCCACAAGGGAACTAACGAATAGTTTGTCTGTGATGCCATTATAAATTTAAACTAAGAGATTTTTAAAATTCTTGCCTTGAGTTTAAAGAGAATTAGATTATGTGTAAAGAATAATGAAAGCCATGGATTATTGAATTATATGGATTTTGTTTCCTTTTTATCGATGAAGTCGTCGGAGTAGGCCTGTGGCATTGAGAAGAATACTAGTTTCTACATTTACATGCCTCTAAAGCCGCGTATAATCAACGTCCGCTTCTCCTTCAATTTTCTTAGTAACAGTTGAGGTGTTAAAGACACGATGAATATTGACATTAAGTAAATTTTATTCAATAAAACGTTATAAAATTAAAAATAAATAAAAATTATCTTTAAAATATATTAACCCATAATGTGAAGGATAATATACTTTACTCTGATATTCTGTGTATTTCTTTCTTTAGAAGTGCTGCTTCCTATGCAACCTTTAATTACTTGATTTTTTTGTTACTTATAAGCCAATAAATGAAGTTCGCTAGAAGTCATCCTATACTTCCTCCATTCTTCTCGGCTTTAAGTACTTCGCAGATATTGAATTACTTTAAAGTGATTTAAACATTTTTCATTATTTATTTATGTGATTTACGATAATAAGGATAGGACGAAGACGAGAATTGCAGCGATGATGGCACATTGTTAAGAGAATCGTCTCTAATGACTTCAATAACACAAATCAAGTGCTGAATTGCGGCAAACTATGAACTGTCAGATGTGCAAGTATCTCAAGTGTGCAATTAACTATTGACATCCTCCAATTAGTGGAAGAAAGTGTTTATTTGTTTTTTTCTTCTTTCAAAATCTTCTTATTGTGCGCATCCATAAACAATAGAGTTCCGCTTAGCAGTCCCAATTGGAAGTTAAGCGCTGAATACTGAACGATAAATGTTG